AGATTAACTAACTAGTAACGGGTGGTGTATATTTTTACCTTCGTTGACAAATTCCGTCAGTGAACACGGGATCAAGGCAATTATTAGTTTTTAGTTCTCATAGTAAGTGGTTATTAGATCGGTGGTGGTAAAGAGTTTGCGCCTATCAGACCTAAATCGCTAAGATCTTGAGGTAGAAAGGTAAAGGAAAAGTTTAGCTAAGAACAATTACTCATTTTCTTGATTAATTATTTCTCAATACTTAAAAATAAGTTTCGGGAACACAAATATCTGGAGCTAAACAGCAAATTGGACAAGATTTCCGATGCTCCTGAGCCACCAGCTCTCAAAAAAGCTAGGTGATTTATTAATCAATTGGTCATAAGGACCATTAGAGAGAACTTTCCTGGGTCATATGAATAAAAAAGTAGGTTTAAAAGAATTCCTTTGTGATATATTGTGACATGACTTTCCATTTCGAAGGCCAGGTTGGTTGGAAGGAATTCTTAAGATGTTCTCACTGAAAGTCGAAGGAGGATTGCCTCTGAGCGAAGCCCGTTTGATTGTGCAAAGAAATCCTTGACTCATCCTTAATTAGGGTAGTAGGACGGAGACATGAGAACTTATTCGCACAATCCAACGGCCAATCGTTTGGTTTCCGCTTCACGAATTTTTTTCGATCAAATTTTTCCCGGTCATGCCCTTTTGTGCGCGTAGAAATGTCTATATAGTGGATATTCAATCTCATATGTAAAAGGTTACCTGAATAATAAGCCGTCCGCGGAGGTTTATGGGCACAGAAATCGCGTGCGGCTACATGTAGAGGAAGGGAGATCGATTTATCTAAAACTACGTGTTATTCCATATGGAAGCTTTGCAAATACTCGCATGGTTAAGGTGCCGATATAATAAAAAACGATATTCTGAGTAGAAGGAGCGAATGTATAGTTTAAAGCAATGCATGGAAGTATGGTTAAAACGTTCATTGGGCTGCCCAATTGTGTCGCATTAACCTGCAGGTTTCTCAATATCACCTACTCTTAAGCTTATAAATCAGTTGTTTTTACGCAATTTCATCATATTTAAATATTTGCCTTTGTAATCTTCTTAAAACATACTCCATACATCATCATAGTTGTGCTATCTCTGCGTGATGTGTCTGTCTAGGGGTTCTTATCTTGCACATATCGATTCCTGCTTTAAGCTTAGCTTTATAGGAACATTGCTGATTTTAAATTTAATTAAAGTAGACTGACATAACCAGAACTATTTTAAATTCAAATCATTTTATTTATATATGCCTAACTCTCTTAAGGGACTCACAGAAATATCACACGAAGTTAAACATTTTAAGCATGTGCAAAGGCAACTTCAAAAATACTCTAAAATCTTTGCCTCCATATTAAGGCCTGAAATATGATTGCATTTCTCGGTTTTCACAATGAGCAGTTGCTAAGGTTATAAAATATAGATGCAATTTATATTTATAAATTAAATCTGGCAGCTTAAGCTTTAATATAAAAATGTTTTTGCTTCTTTCAACCTTTTCCTTCAGTTCCAGACAGTTTACTTACTTCATTGCAGGAAAACAGTCGCTTCACTGATTCAATGGCCCATGACATGATGGCTTCAGATACAGATGCAATCTTTGCCCAAGAACTGGAGGACCCTTTACTCTTGCAGCCGAGTTTTCAGTCTTTGCGTATGACCAGGGCAAGGAAGAATACATCGCAGCGCATGCCTCCACGGAGGTCAGCCCGTCTGTGTGCCCGCCAACTTGAGCTACCAGCGGCCGGTGATGACGCTCCGCTGCTGGATCGAAAGCAGCTGGTCTCGCTGGGCCCACCTGTAGTCATGGAAGAATTTTTGATGGAGGTAAATCCGAATTATGGTATAATCACTAATAAATCCGTCCTCAAAAGTATCACCTGTCTGTGAACTATAGTTTGTAGCAAGCTATGTTTAGGCACTTAGTCCCTTCGCAACTGACTATAGATTAATCCCATTTTAAACCCTTAAAATTCGAGGAATGGCACACCTATTGCGTTAGTCCAATTTTGCATGGGTACTTGTGTTTGGCAATCAGCTGGGGACCTGAATTTCTCCAAACATCGACTGCTAAAGGCAAATATCCCTGTCTCGAGTCCATCCTCCACATTTTTAGCTATTTTGCCTAACCAGTATTAAAGGATTTTGCCATGCTCTTTTAAGATTTTGGCTCTATTATGTCCCAAATTTTACTCAATGAAACATATCTCAGAGGTTTTGATCAATTAAAGAAAACTCTACTCCATACTGTAAATGCAGCTTCTTCTAGCCAATGTCGAGTATTGCTTGATTTATTTCTATTCCTGGGCTATCTTATTGAAATGTGGTTGTTAAAAGAACAGCTTCTCCTGAATCAGATAACATTAATAACCATGAAAATATATCATCATAATTTGGGTGAGCTGTCTAGCATAGCTTTGTATTAATCACTTTAACCCCAGAGACCGACACTTCAATGCTCGCATTGGATTCGATTATAAATCTTCTTGGCGAATTCCTTGAAAAAATGTAGGAGCATTTGCACCAACTCGAAAATCAAATCATATTTAAGCTCGATTATGCTATGATCAAAAGAACTTCCAGTTCGGATCACCTGAGTGCTATTGTTTACGCAATTCATAATTGTTGAATTCACTTCCATTTCAAGTGAAAGTGTTTGGTGAAGAGATTCAAAGGTCGATCGCAAAAGAACGCGACGACGGATCCTCTTGATTGGTTTTAATGGAACATTCGTTTGAACGCTGTTTCTCGGGCAATCTCCTTCGATTCCGATGTAAACGTGCTAAGTTTTCGTCTGTCGTATGACGGACATCATTAGAGGAGGCTATCATCCTTACACCTATACTTAAGCTAACGTCAAGAAAACTCGAAATTGGAATTGAACTCAATAATTAGGAACCAAGAGATTCTTTGAACTATAAATTTTATTCAAATTGTATTAAATATCGCAATGTGGAAACTTGGCCTATGAAAGCCAGCTCTAAACTCATGGAATATTTTTCGTATATAAGCAGTTTCGAGATTACCCGTAAATCAGTTTTATGATTTGTATTCACCCTATTTTGTTTAAGGTTATGGTGGTAAATGTGATATTGGAAAAAAAAGAAAAAAAAATGGCCTGGCCTTCTACTACCAGTCCTTCATCACTTTAAACGAAATAGGGTGAATACATCTCATGTATCATAAAATACACGACCAAGATTTATAATCCAATCCGATGCTAGCATTGGAGTTTCTTTCTCTGTCATTAAGGTATGAAGAATTTTAAAAGATTTTTTATACTCTGATAGCCGACATGCTAACTACTCCAAAAGGCTATTACCGAAGTAAAAATATCTAACCGGTTTTCAGGATCTACTGGCAGTTTCGAGCCATTATATGATTATGTTGAGTTTAATGGCAAATATAAGTTTGCTTCGTCAGTTATCTCATTAAAGCGTGGCAAGCTATCCTTACCTTGAAAGTCATCCGTCCTTTTGCCCAATGGTTATGGCGTAGTGGTAATGCTTTTTCATCTCAGGCGCACCGGAAGGCCTAGAATCTCGTTGTCGTTGATGTCGAAACTGCAGTCTCTCCTGGATTATAACACCTTTCGAGAGGTGAAAAGGAAGGAAATTCACTGGCACCCCGAGTATTACCTGAAAATTTACTTATCAGTCCTTAAGTAGTCTATAACTACTCAAGTACTTAATTGAGATCTACTTAGTTATTAATTATAAATCCTGTTTCCGCCAACGTGGCAGGCGCACTTTTAATCTAGCTGCTGAACTAGCTTCACTCATGCATAACCAGCTCCAGATTACTTGGCCGGTGCTGAACGCTTCATTAGCTTTCGACCAATTCCTACAGGCTGTGGGCGTATATGCTTTGAATGCGAGAGCTATCAGATAAGTAGAAAATCCTTTGCTAGTTTGCGGCATTTAAGAATAAAGATAGTAATACATCTCTCTTGGAAACTATCCTCTGGTTTATTTAAGGTAGAAGCCATGACCATGTCATATTTGGAATTTCACTTTCGAATTCTGGCCTTCCACATCCATCATTTGAAGAACAAGCTGCATTTTATTACATTTTAATATATGGTTAACTTAAATCAAGGTCGGTCGTACCGCCTATTAGTCCGCCATTCTTTTTCTTGATTCCATAAACAATTGTTGATCTTC